TGCCCCACTCTCCCTCCTGTGGCTGTGGGACTACTGTGTTCTGGCTTTTGCTGCAGGGAATATTCACAGCAAAGGACGCTTCTGGCTGACTGCGAGTGACACGAGGAGCAGAGGGTGGAGCAAACAGCAGACTTTAAATACTGACTCTCCCTTTACTGATATTGTTAGAAGGCTGGGGCTGCACTCTAGAGACTTTTGGCTCCTGACAGAGATAGGCTGAATCCTTGCTCACATGAGCTACTAAATCTTTGGTCATGCTCATTTGGGAAAGAGATTCAATTTTTCACAAAATGGCTCTCTCTCTGCATGTACTCTCCCTCTAATGCCCCTGGGAGCTACCATTAGCCTCTGGAAGAACATTCGGGAGAGGAAGCTGAATGCAAGTGGCAGCTGTCTTAGCATGCTGAAATACTTCCGGGGGTGCCACTGTTTAGTCATCAGACCCCAGAACAGTTCACTGCCCTACAGCCATGCATGTATGCCCACACAGACGGCAGCTTAACCTTTCACACCACTGTCAGTTTGCTAGATGCTGGTCTTTTGGGGATGGTAGATAAACTGATCTTTTCCCTATTCTCTTCAGTTTGGCATCAGGGCCTGCAAACACTGCACTAAGCCAAGGGACCCTTGGTGGGGATGAAGTCTGTTGAGTCTTATGTACCAGCAGGGCTAGAGACTCCAGCTTTCAAAGTTACAAGCATCTGTGGACGGGACCCCATTAGATTTTAGTTAGTCCAATAAAAGGTATCATGTCTGAACCACGAGTTTTAGAGTTTTGCATTTCTTTTTGTCTCAGACAAACACAGCTACCAAATACATCCCTGAAACATGGAAGATGCCAAATTTGAGCCAATTTTGGAATTATAAACTTCATTGCTAAACAAGAAAGAAAAATTTCTATACCTCCCTACCTTTCTGCCATCTGACACCACCAGGGAAGAGAAACTGCCTTATCTGCACATCAAAGAGCAACTGATACAAAGGAACTCTCATGGCCCCACCTTCAGCTTCCTCTGTGCAAAATGAAGTTTATTTTTTACCTAAGGGGGACTTTTACCATCTTTAATTTTACTTAAGCCTGAAGAAGGGTGTGTGTGCCTGAAAGCTTGCAAAGAAAGATTTTTTTTTTTGTGAGTTCTTAGTTGGTCTAATAAAAAGTATCATCTCTGACCCAAGAGTTTTAGAGTTTGCATTTCTTTACAGGAGACACCTCTCACTGTATCTCTATTGGAATCCAGGCCCGAAATCTGAGCTGTTCTGCTGTGGGTCTTGGTGCCTTTCATAAGAGAGGGTCTGCACTATTAGCAGGGGTGACGGGGAGGGAAGCAAAAGTGCTCCAATTTTCAGGTCTGCTATCTTCAAGAGCAAAACATTGAACACCTTCAAGAGCAAACTGGATGCTTATCTTGCTGGGATCCTATGACCCCAGCTGACTTCCTGCCCTTTGGGCAGGGGGCTGGACTCGATGATCTTCCGAGGTCCCTTCCAGCCCTAATGTCTATGAAATCTATGAAAAAAAAAATCTTGCAAACTGTTGGGGCTTCATGCTCTTTGCACCAGTGTTAACAGCAATTCTGTGCTCTTCTAGGCACTAGTCCTGGCCCACCCAGGCCCTGGTCCTGCCTGTGGGAGTTTCTGGTTCTCTTCTCTACTGACTGCAACAGCTGTGTTGGGACTCCATGTTTATAGTGTCTCTCACATCCTAGATTCCCTGGTCTCGGTTTGCTGGTGGGGCTATTACTGCTCACCTGGGCTCTGGCAACTGTAGTTGTTTATTTCTGAGTTATCACCAGTTATTAAGACCTCGTTACCTTCTGCAGAAAGGCAGGGGTAACACTGAGAACTGATCGTGCTTTGCACCATCGTTACCCTATTTTTATCAGGAGCTTGCTAATGGGTCTAAGATTGCCTATGAGCCACAGTCATGTGGCAGAGCAGAGATTTCTACAGTCAAGGGGAGCTCATCTGTGTGGGAGCTGGACCCTTCTCAGGGGCTGCTCTGAGGCTGTGGAGTAAATTCTTCCAAAACAAAGGGTTTTGGAAGAATTTGTGCCTCCTCACAGGCTGCTCTGAGAGTCCATGCCTCCAACTAGCTTTCTCTGATCTAATGGCAGCATGGGCATTTGCACACAAAACCATTCCACTACACACACATCTGGGGAGCACAGGAGAAAGAACAAGCAGAACACGATATTAGTCATGCCACTAAAGGTGATGCTGGAAGGCCTCGAAACTATGGTGGTGAGAGCTCTATGATAATCTGGAGAGAAGAGAGCAGAGAGAAGCCTGCAGGTGCTACATTCAAAAACCTGGTATTATGTATATTCCAGTGTGGCCTGGAATCACTGAGACACTAGTGTTGTCCTTAGTCGGAGTTGACAGGTCTCAACCCAAGCAATTCTGCCCCCTTTCCCTTCTTGCTTGTCCTTGCCCCCAGGCTCATGTACTGAGGGAGATCAGGAAATGATCACAAAGACTTAAGTAGGAGAGCAGGAGGAGAGAACCAGTGCCAGCAGTAACTGAAGGCAGGCCCCCCACCATTGTACTCACCAATTGGCTTCCCAGTGTGAATGTCAATGATAAATCCAGGGGCCTGGTTTCCACAAAGGATCTGGTACTCAGCTAGAAGGGAAACAACAAGGTCACATCTAGAAGTTAGCAGATGTACCAGCTATGGGTGCCAGGATAGGAGGTGAGGGGTGAGGAACACCATGGAGATATGCACATGGGGATGGAACTGATGGAGGAAGTCATACCAGAGAATGAGGAGACCACAGATACAGAAGAAAACATCTATCGTGCTACCAGCTGGGGTCTATGCTCCCTCACCCCAAGGCCTGACATCTTAGACACACATACAGCCATGACATATCCACACCTCCACTGCACATACACACTCATTCATCTGCATACTCCACACTCAATGCACATCTGGACATAGGCACACCCGCCGCACCACACCTTTACGCATAGACTGCCAGCACACACACAAGGCAAACTGGCCTGATGAATTTCATCCCAGGGTCCTGAAGGAAGTGGGAGTGGGGATGTTGGAGCCACTGGCAATAATCTGTATCAAGTTGTGGGAGACAGGCAAGGTACCACAGCACTGGAAAAGGACCAACATAATGCCCTTTAAAAAAGGGGAAAAGGAGGACCCAGGGAATTATAGAATGGTTAGCCTGTTATCAATACCTGGGAAGCTACTGGAGCATGTCATAAGGAAGGCCATTTGCAAGCATCTGGAGGAGGCAAGACTGATCATGAGCAGCCAGTATGGATTTGCTAAGAACAAATCATGCCAAACAAATTTATCAGGTGCTAGACAGAGGAGCTCCAGGCTGCAGTCCAGAGACTGCATGCCTTCAGGGATGGCGAGTAGGAGATAGACTCCTACTGCCAGGCCCTTCACCCCCTGGAGGTGGAGGGTAGACCAAGGACACCCTCCAGGGCAAGGGAGGACTTGGGGATCTCCCATGCTGTCCAGCCAGGGGGTTGGACCAAGGTGGACAAGGGCCCCAAGGCCCACCGCACCAAGGCTCCCTCCCCTCTGGGGATTTGCAACAGGCATGAACCTATTGCAGCCCCAGTACAGCCTGCCAGCTCCGGCAGGCAAGGGAGGATCACCCACCCCCACTCTCCCCAAGATGAAACGCAGAGTGCTAGTCATGGGAGACTCCCTCCTGAGGGGGCAATCTGCCACCCAGACCCCCTAGCCCGGGAGGTCTGCTATTTCTTGGGGGCCCGCATCCGGGACATAGCCGAGAAGATCCCAAAGATTCTCTGGCCCTCCAACCACTACCCCATGCTCCTTATCCATGTGGGCATGAATGACACAGCTCGGCGCAATCCTAGCCATGTCATGAGAGACTACAGGGCTCTGGGAGTGGGGCTTAAGGCGTTGGGGGCGCAGGTGGTCTTTTCCTCGCTCCTCCCAGTTGTGGGTCATGAGCTGAGGAAGGAGAGATGGATTGAGGTAATCAACCAGAGGCTGCGGCACTGGTGTCATCATGAAGGCTTTGTCTTCCATGATCACAGCCTGCTCTTTGGTAAGAGAGGCAGTGAGCTGCTGGGAAGAGACGGCCTCCACCTCACTTCGCTGGGGAGGAGGCTCTTCTTAGCCAGACTGGCTGACCTGCTCCATTGGGCTTTAAACTGAGCCCACTGGTGGATGGGGGGAGTACCGCCACTGCAAGCCCACTGGACAGTTTTTGTAAACCGAGCAGGCTAAGGCACTCAAGGGAACCCACCCCTACCCCAGCCCCAGAGTGATCTGTAGGGAAGGCAAGGGCCCCCAGTGGGACACTTACGTGCCTGTACACCAATGCCAGGAGCCTGGGGAACAAACAGGAGGAACTGGTCCTCCTGCTAAACCAAAAGGATTATGATCTCATAAGGATAACGGAGACCTGGTGTGACTCCATCTATGACTGGGCCACAGGTATAGATGGCTATACCTTGTGCAGAAGAGATCGTGTGGGCAAAAGGTGGGGCGGGGGTTAGCACTCTATGTCAAGGAAAGCTATGCGTCCCTGCAAGCTGACATTGGCACCCATGGGGGATGATTGAAGACTCTCTGGGTCAAAATCTGTGGCGAATAAGGCACAGGGGACACAACGGTGGGAGTCTACTACAGACCTCCCACCCACGATCAAGAACTTAATCAGGAGTTTGCCAGGGAACTGGCTGAGGCTACATGCTCCCAGTGCATAGTTGTTACGGGAGATTTCAACTACCCTGACATCTTGTGGGAAGAGCACTCGGCCACATCCGAACGGTTGCGAAGCTTCCTCATGTGCGTGGATGAGCTCTATCTGACTCAAGAAGTCCGTGGACCGATGAGAGGCAAAGCACTGCTTGACCTGGTACTGGCAATAGAGGATGACTTAATCAGCGACCTAATGATTGAAGGGAAGCTGGGAGACAGCAATCATGAGCTGATCACCTTCACCATCCACCATAAACCAGGCAAGTCAGTCAGCAAAGCAGAAGTCCTTGACTTCAGGAAAGCTGACTTTGAGAAGCTCAGGAAGCTTGTTGGCATGGCCCTAAGGGACCATGACCTGAAGGGGCGGGGAGTTCAGGAAGAGTGGTTGCTCATCAAGGGAGTGATCCTGGAAGCACAAGTAATGTCTATCCCGTCTCGGAGGAAAGGCAGCAAAAGGACACAGCAGCCCCCTTGGCTCTGCAGGGAAATAGTGGACCTCCTGTGACTAGAAAGAATGGCTTATAAAGGATGGAAGGCTGGATCCACCCCCAAAGGCGGAGTACTCTGCACTGGTCCAGACCTGTAGGGAGCAAACCAGGAAAGCCAAGGCTGTGACTGAACTCCAACTGGCTACACATATCAAGAACAATAAAAAGTTCTTTTTTAGATATGTGGGGAGACGGAGGAAAAGCCAGGGTAACATTGGACCCCTGCTAAACCATATGGGTCAACTGACAACCGACGCCCAGGAAAAAGCCAACCTGCTCAACGAGTATTTTGCATCGGTTTTTCACCAACCCCAAGGGACGGCCCTGCTTAATACGGTATAGAACGGCCGGTCACATCAATGTAGACCATGTGAAGGAACACCTTGAGAGACTGGACACCTTCAAGTCAGCTGGCTCAGACAGCTTGAACCCCAGGGTACTTAAGGAGCTGGCAAGCATCATAGCTTGGCCACTGGCATGGACCTTTGAGAACTCATAGCGCTCAGGTGAAGCGCCTAAGGATTGGAAGAAGGCCAATGTGGTGCCTATCTTCAAGAAAGGGAGGAAAGTAGATCTGGGGAACTACAGGCCCATCAGCCTGACCTCCATCACCGGGAACATCTTGGGAAAAATCAGAGACCATTCTTGACAAACTGGCTGAAGGCAACTTCTTGAGAAATAGCCAGCACGGGTTTGCTGCAGGTAGGTCTTGCCTGACCAGTCTCATCTCCTTCTATGACCAGGTGACCTATCACCTGGACAAGGGAGAAGAGATTGATGTCATATATTTCGACTTTAAAAAAGCTTTTGATTTGGTATCCCATGATCATCTTACAGAAAAACTGGCCAATCGTGGCCTCGGCTACATCACAGTCTGCTGGCTGGAGAATTGGCTTCGAGGTCAGACCCAGAGAGTGGTAGTTGATGGAAGTCAATCGTTTTGGTGTGCCATGACCAGTGCAGTCCCACAAGGCTCCATCCTTGGGTCTATCCTTTTCAACATCTTCATTAATGATGTGGACATTGGTGTCAGGAGCGGACTGGCCAAGTTCCCTGATGACACCAACCTTTCGGGTAAAGTGTCCACACCCTAGGACAGGATGGTGATCCAGGCTGACCTTGACAGGCTCAGAAAATGGGCAGATGAAAACCTGATGGGCTTCAACTCCGAAAAATGCAAGGTACTCCACCTTGGGAAGAAAAAGCCATAGCATGCTTATAGGCTCGGCAGTGCTATGCTTGCTGGCACCATGGCCAAAAGGGACTTAGGGGTTACGATTGACCACAAGATGAATATGAGTCACCAATGTGATGTTGCAGCTGGCAAAATGAGCAAAGCTCTGGCTTGCATCCATAGATGCTTCTCTAGCAAATCCCAGGACGTCATCCTCCCATTGTACTCGGCTTTGGTGAGGCCGCAGCTGGAGTACTGTATCCAGTTCTGGGCTCTACAATTTAAAAAGGATGTGGAGAAGCTTGAGAAAGTCCAGAGGAGAGCCATGTGCATGATCAGAGGGCAGGAAAACTGACCTTATGATGAGAGGCTGAAAGCTATAGGACTCTTCAGCCTGGAAAAGCACAGGCTCAGGGGGGACCTGGTGGCTGCCTATAAGAATATAAGGGGTGCACATCAGAATCTGGGGAAACACCTGTTCACCACAGCGCCCCATGGGATGGCAAAGTCAAACTGTCACAAACTTCACAGTTTCATAGTTGGTAGGGTCAGAAGGGACCTGAGCAGATCATCAAGTCCGACCCCCTGCAGAAAAAAGTACTGGGGTCAAACGACCCCAGCAAGGTGTTCATCTAGCCTCTTTTTAAAGACCCCCAGGGTAGGAGCCAGCACCACTTTGCTTGGAAGGTGGTTCCAAGTCCTAGCCGCCCTGACTGTGAAGTAGCGCCTCCTGGTGTCTAGTCTGAATCTACCCTCTGCCAGCTTGTGACAGTTATTTCTAGTCACTCCTGGGAGTGCTCGGGGGAACAGGGACTCCCCCAATGCCTGCTGGTCCCCTCTGACTAGTTTGTAACAGGCCACTAGATCCCCCCTCAACCTTCTCTTGTGGAGGCTGAACAGGTTCAGGT